GGTGCAGTCAGTTCCTTAAAAGGGGCGATCTCGTTGGCCAGTTACTTTTACTATATTTGCTAGTTTACAGTTATTCGCATCAACTTTTACGCGAATATGATTTGCTTTGCTTTTATGCAATCTGCTGAGCAAATATGGGGATGCACGCAAGAGGAGGTGTCCCCAAGGAAGTCGATGGTTCAGTCCTCTTGCCAGTATGACGTCACGTCTCGAGTGAGTGACTTTCAAAATGGCGAGCAAAGTGTTCATAGAAGAGATGGATAAAAGTTTCGAAATTCTCATGGATAAACTGTTACTTCCCATCTCTGGGTTTGGCGATGTTAAGATTCCTACTGTTATAGAAAACCAGACTTTGGTACTTGTTTTGGAATGAAACCTCCAGTGGTGTAATGAATTTTAAAGATTCCTTTTTATCGTCCAGCAAATTTTACGCTAGCGTTCATATCGACCGGCAACTTTTTTAAGGGCCGTTTCACAGCGACATTGAAGAATTTAGGCACAGAAATAGGAGGTTCATCAAAGCATATACCAGGCTTTAAGTGCGCGTATTTTTAGCTCTTCAGAGCCAGTGGATCCTCATGTAGAGGGGGAGTGCCCGGGTTCTCCACCAGAAATCTGTAGAGGGGAACTTCTACAGACTTTAGGATAAGTAGAAAAGAGTTGGTACAACCAGAGTTTGCAGTTGAAAATGGTTTTTTAAGTTAATTGGTTTTTAACAGTTTTATATGGTATTCATATGCAAGGAAAGGGTGCTAGTAGGTGTCGGAGTTTAGAAAACAAAAGGAACTGAAATTGAGTTGATTCCAGCTACGCGTGGAAGAAATTTGCAAAACTAGAAATATCTCTACAACCAAATTCCTTTACAGAGAGAACCAAAACGATAGTTTGAAAGAAACTAAATTTTCCTAAGATGTCGAAAGAAATTCTAGTTTAAGGTCAGAAAAGTAAGTGAAATTTGGCTGAAACTGGTTCAACAGAGAACAAAGAACTCAAAAGGTGTTAGGACGCGTGGCCTTAAGCTAGATTTAATGAGGTAGGCAAGACTGATTATTATTCAGGTTTGGAAGCAAAAGTGAGAACTGATTTCAGGTTAAAACAAACGAACTTCGTCAAAGAAATTGTTCATTCTTCCATCCACAGCTGAAAACACCCTGACTAATCAAAATAATTGTTTCTATCTGATGAATTTGTTTTATGTTACCGAAATATTAGCTCGAAGAGGTGTTTCTCAAAACTAATTGTGACTTTACTGTCAAGGTCAGCTTTAAAATTATACTTACGTTAATATTAAGAGTTAAAACGTACAACTTGCCTTTTTCTAGAATTATTTGAAACCCAAACACCAATAAAGAATAAAAGGTCGATGCAGTAGTCTATGTCCAAAATTCTTTGACTGCATTATGCGCAACTTATAATTGAACAAAATTGTGCCAGTTGGTTAGATACAACTGGAGGCACGTACATGCTTACAAAGGATGGTTGTATCATGTAGTGAATACAATTCTTCACCGATCTGAATAAATTTGTATCTGTGGATATATAGGTTATTCCAAACACCAAAGATATATATATTTAGTAAAATCCAACTAGTGGTCTATTATCAATGCCGCCTTCTGATTGGTTGAGCTACTACTAGGCTATATGTTATAGCCCACTAGTAACGAAAAGCGCCCACTTTTTGGCGGCAAAAAAGGATTAAAGTCTAGCTTTAACTCGCTAAAGTTGTTTTGTCTCGATATTTTTGACCAACTAGTTGGATTTTACTAAAACAATTGCACGCGTTTTAGGCATCCTAGTGATGAACAGTTGCGACACGTAGATATATATTTTTTAGCAACTAATATGATTTGCAGTCTGTCTACTTTGAATTCCTCTCGCCCTCATGGCCTCTGAGTCAATAGCCCATTCGGCCTTCGGCCTAATGTACTTTTGACCCAGAGCCCATTCGGGCTCAAGGAATAATTGTTAAATATATACTTTTATACGGTTAAAGTATGATATGTGAGATGAGAACCGACAAGGAAGTTTTGGCCATTTCTGTTTGTTTGTATTGTGGTAATTCAAAGCTAATGGCGCAACAAAAGGTAAGACAGTTTCTTCAACCGCACGAACTATTTCTTAGGGACTACTCACTTCAGTTTATCCCTTGTCAGTCCTTTCCTCAATATCAAATACAGCAAGCAAAATTTCCTTCAAGGAAGCAAAGCTGAAATAAGAGATAAATATCAAGTTAAATGTCAAGGCGATAATAAAAGATTTCTGAACGAGCGCGCTTGGTTGCTTTTGCGCTTAGCGGTGTTATACAAATGGTTCCTGTTCAATCTGTTGTTTGAGAATTGATGAAGTCGGTTGGCTTTGACTATCGCCTTGAGACAACTTAATAATTATATGAGTAAATATGTTTGTATATCTCGTAGCTTTCATTTTATTTATTTATTTTTTTGTGATTATCTTATTCGTTTTTCCAAACCCCTGAAATTGAAACTTGAGTAAACACGATCAATAAAATGTGGTTAAGCGATAATAAGCTAAAGGTTAAAATATTTTCGAGGAAGAATATTAATTTTATGCGGAGACACTTAATTTTCAGTAACATGGTTTGAGGCTGAACCGGCACTTCTGTTCACGTCTCGCTCTGACGTATAGTTATCCTCTAATAAGGGTTGTGATCAACGCAAACTCAGCTCTATCCAACAGCCCGACACCGATTTATCAGCGCCAAATATTATTTTGAAAGCGTGGTAAAATGAAATAAATAAGAATTTCAATGAATTTAAATTTGGGTTGATATTCCGAAAAATGTGTGTCTACCCATATCAATCCCTTCAAATGCAAAGTTCGCTTCACGCACCAACTTAACTACAGCACACTTTTTTTTCAAAGGAACGACCAAACAATGTTCAAAAATGCCCGTAAGCGCAACTTCACACGATAACAACAGCAAACAACCACAGCGATAATTTACCTTGAGGGATTAAGTAGCAAGCAACAATATATAAGCAATTAAAGACAAATCAAAAACTACCACACTATAAATTTTTCAAAAAGCCAGCCCTGTAAGTAAACCACGCAAGAAACCAAGTTACTAGAAATACGCTATCGCAAAAACCTCGGGGACGAACCTAGTTCATCTGGACGTGCAAGTAACTCCTTGAACACTGTACCACGATAGAGCTCATTTTTTTGGTGATTAGAAATAAATTTGTTATATTAAAACCATTTTTCTCTGCCACAGACGCTGTTTGAAGGAGGTAGCCGGCTGTATTTATCATGAATTCAAAGATACATTTGAGGAAAATTAGAAAATAAACACGTATTTCAAAGCTGTTTCGAATTTTTTCGGGTTCAACAGGCCGATCGATGTACGGATAATCGATCAAACTGGCTGTACTGAATTTGGTGGAGAATGTAACAAATCAACAGGGGTCCACACTCGAAGGGATTGATATGAAGTACGGTCGATTTAATCAGCAAAAGATTATATGAAATATAAACTGTGTGATCTCTGAATCGAGCCTCCTATTCTGGAGACTAGACGTCGCCTATTTTAGAGAAAAAAAAGGAGCTAGTTTTTGTTGTTTTTGCTGGTCCCGTAAGGGAGATGGCAATCCCGCAACACAGCCCGCGACACAAATTAACAAAATTACCCAATTACGAACACAAAATACCAAGACGGATTACCCAAGCAGATAAGAGCTATACCGAAGCTCACACTTAGCTTATAGCTAGCTTTTTATCTGCTTCCCCCGAGAAGTTGTTGTAATGACTGTGGCTAGGCCTTTGCAGATGCTAAAAAGTTGCTAAGAAATATGCCAAACAGTTGCTCAAAAGTTGCTCAAAAATTTTGTAAAGTTGCTCGAATATTTTTCAGACAGCGTGTCTAATTCTAATAACAATTGCTTTGCAATCAGCATTAAGGTACAACTAAGTAACTACTTACAACAAATTAGGCAACCTTTAGTTGAATCTAAGTGGCTAGTTACAAAAAGTTAGACAGTAAGTGTAACAAAGCTCCCCTGCTAACTGCAGTTTCAATGGGGTTTTCGATTTCTTCGTCTTCGGAAGACAACGTGGCGTCCGCCATTTTGTTTACACACAGTCCACAGGCTACACCAACCTCGTTCCCTGGGCTTTTCCCTTCTCATGGGGGGCGCATCCCACGAGAAGGGAAAAGCCCTGGGAACGAGGTTGAGGCTACAAAAACCCAATTCTTGTAATTAATTACCACGTCCACATGATACCCATTCGAAGGGTAAAAATATGAGTTTTACTAGAAAGATGTTCAGAACTTTAACCAAGAGAATTTTAACTTGTATATTTAAAAAAAGTGGGAGGTTATTCAGCATTTTGGTTCAAAATAGCCCAAAAGTTACCAAAAAAGTGCTCGTTTTCCGAAAAGTTGCTTTAAGTTGCTCTCTGGCAAAAAAGTTGCTCAGAATCCTAAAAGTTGCTAAAAAGTTGCCTAGCAGAATCTGGAAAGGCCTAACTGTGGTGTCCCTCGCTAATTTGCACAAGCGACCCGAAGCTCTCGCTCGTTACTAGCTATGTGATGTCACACTGGCACTCGGAGTGGGACAAGAAACTTAGTTGGAAAATAATAGAGTCACCTCCCCCCCTACCTGGGATGCACCTGGCGAAGTTTTACTGAACACGAAGGTAGCAACAGTCGCTCTTGCCAACCCTTACCCTAAGCGTGTGATTACAAGCTCAACGTTTACCCCTTTCTTGATATAAAATTTTCAATTAATGCATTACATATCTTTTGCTACGAGTTTGAACTTGATCGTCAGGAATGGACGTCGATCTTAAAAGATGTTCTCATAGGAAATTGTCCCGATATAAATTTATTATGGAAGTTGTCTCCCGCGACCTTAATATTTTTTCCTACCCGTCCTTCTTTACTAGTAACAAGATCAATTGAAGTGGTAAGTGTGTGTTTCCTACTTTCCTTCTCCAAAGCATTGATCCTAAGTTAAAGTGAAAACATATAAGTGTGTCAATCAATGATCCGCAGTCTTCTCGTAAGTCTGAACAAGGCGAGAGAAATGACCATTCTTAATCCGTAGCAGGACGTCAGGTTTATCAAACTCCACCACTCTTCCCCGATCCATAACCAGCACTTTGTTATAGTCCATGATGGTGTTCAAGCGATGGGCAATGGTAATCACTGTGGAATCTTTAAATCTGTTGCGTATAACTTCTTGAATCAGACGATCTGTTTTGTAATCCACGTTAGCAGTGGCTTCATCCAGTATTATAATCTTGCTTTTCTGTAACAGCGCACGCGCTAAACAGACCAGTTGACGCTCGCCAACACTGAAATTGGTCCCAGATTCTTTCAACTTGTACTCTAGCTGTTCAGGTAAATCTTGCACGAGGGTCTTCAACTGTACTTCTTCCAAAGCACTCCACATGTCATGATCTTCATACAAAGAGAATGGATCTAGGTTCCTTCTGAGGCTGCCACTAAAGAGAACAGGATCCTGAGTTATAACAGCCATGGACCTGCGAGCCGCCTGCAGATTGAGATCTTTGATGTTGACATTGTCTATGATCACCTGTGAAAGCAAATGTAATGCATTTCAACCAGCTTTTTATTTTTCTGGTATTAACTTTACATAATTCTTGCACGCATGCGCATTGTGGGATAAAACTACACTTACATTACTGAGGATACGAAAAGTAATGCGCATCCGAGTACACAACATTCTCGTCCCCAAGGCTGTGATCCTCATGATCAACGCTATAGATAGAAAGCTAGAGTAGATGCCGGAACTCCTCAAGTCAAGGGCTTCAGGCTTTCTGTGCAGCCTCAGAAATTGAAGCCAAAAGGGTTATCAGCGGTTACAAAAGTGTGAGACTACTGCGTCTGCGCGTTGTCCTGGTTCCATCCAGAGCTTCTAGATCCGCGCCGGGCGCTGGCCAAAAGGATCAGTACTCTTGGGACGAGAATGGTTGGGAAAGCTTTGAAAACGAACACCCAGCTATTATGAAACATAAATGTCGAGACTTTTTGACTCAAAAGTTTGGCCATTTTTAAGCGTTGTCAAGAGGTTCGAGCAACACCAAAACATGTTGCTGCCAACAACGTTGCGATGGGTCTTAACAAGAGGACAAGAAGAAGACAATTCTTACCCTGCCTTCTGGCTCTGGTATTCGGAACAAAGCAGCCACCAAAGACGATTTTCCAGCTCCAGTGCGACCTACTACTCCAACTTTTTCTTTAGCAGCGAAGCAAACGTTTATGCCGTTCAAAATTGGTGGAGCACCTTCCAAGTATGTAAGCGACAAGTCATGTAATGCCATGGAGCCTGCTGTTGGCCAGTCTTCAGGAGGTTGGGTTTCTGTGCAATAACCAGGCTGTGGATCGATTTCCGTGTAGGTAAACACTCTTTCCACTGATGTCATGTGATTTTCTGTCTCCGAAGCGACGTAAATGCCATACTGTGCAGCCTCTAACGTCTCCAGTGCGAATGTCAGAGACATGCCTGCTAACGCTGCAAACATATACAAACGTTTTCTTCTACTTTCTGAGAATTAGTAGCCAACCAGACAGAGCAACACTTAATCGAAAGAACGGGTTAAGAGCAGAGACAAAATATGTACCTATTACAGCTGATAGGAAAGTAAACGAACTTAGCCGCTTTGCCTTCATGAAGCATCAGAATCAAATGGTTATCCTTTTAATTATGACGGACATACAGACCTACAGCAATATTAACCCTCAGGAAATTTATCCCTTGAGGAACTTGTTCCAGTGCCATGAGTAAGTTTTCCTATTACTTTCCTATATCAATGCGGTATAAAAACTTAAGGGAACCTCTGACGCGCGTCTTTTGTACGACATCTCTGTTAAAAATATGCTGGTGGACTGTCAAACATGAGTTCACTGGTGTCACAATTCAATGTTGTTTTTGCTCTCTTTTTCATTTCATATTACTAGTCGGAGACTATGTCAACCTTAGGAAAATCTTCATTTGGATGAATACGGTCGCTCTATATATACTTTTGAGAGGCAGTCTTCCTAAAAGCGTTCCACTGGATTTCGGACTCGAAAAGAATTTTTGCCTTATATTTTTATCACTAACACTACTATTAATCCCAATAACGAAATTGCAGTTAGAATGAGGAAATTGCTTATTTTACTGCCATTCCCAGCATTTCATTGCTGGACGACCGTTAGCGGCTAAAATATGCAATTTTAGAATGATGCTGTTTCACAGGTTTTTTAACGATCGTTTAAAAGTACTTCTGGTCATCAAATCCTAGACTGTTCGCTCTCATTTGCAAGCATATTACTTCTTCTTACTGTTCCAATACCATTTAGGGATTATGTTTCTGTCATCAGCAAAACCTGGTCGTCTTTATTTTGCTAACCCAATTAAGAAAGCAAAATGCACGAATAAATGCCTGAAAAACACCACAAAATTTTCCAATATGGCACCTAAACTAGACCTAATAAAAACATGTTTTAGTTAAAGATTAAGAGCTATTTTCTCAAGTTATGCAATAAAACTTGTGGCACAACGCGATTCAGAATTGAAGGATTCGACTTAAATTTGCATATTGATCCTTAGTAAAGAAATTCTTCATAATCCTATAAATGACAATTTTTCTGTTTGTTCGTTTGTTTGTTTTTTTACTTTATCAACAAGAAAAATCGGAAATAGGTTAAGCTTATAGAAGATTAAGTTTACTTTTCCACTGACCTTCGTATTAATAGTCTCGGCCGGCCGTACTTTGTTCGACGCCCAGTAGTTGGCCTTCTTGGTTAGTAGAGTGGGTCGGGAAAAATACGCATTACTCCCTACCCCACCCCCTCGCCCTTTTTCTACTCGCATCTCTCGGAGGGTCGCCCCTTCGGTCTGAACGCTTGGATTAAGAGGCTGTTTGACATACTTCAGTCGCATTCTAAACGAACATTTTACACTATATATATGGAATGATGGTACACGGTAGTCCTTGAAGAAATATTAAGAAAATATGGACTGGAGTTCAAAGACGTAAAGTCAACAACCCGCTAATCTCGTCTACGCCACAATAAGTCTCGTACTTATAAATTCTTATCAAGTAAATTGTTATTTAGCATAGCAGTTCTACTGCTATGCTGGTAAATAAATGCTGTACGCTCTCAATTCCGTGATGGACGGTGAGTGAATTGATTGAGTAACCTGACAGTGTTCGGTTGTAACCTGTTGATACCACCACTAAATAAAACCGTTAGCCTGTCAAGTTGTTAAGCTTTGAACGACTATAGGAGATTTATATTTGACTATTTTCGGGAAATTTGTACCAGACCTTCGTTTCCTCGCATGCAAACTCGCTCGTTTTTTGTTTTGTTGTTTGTTGTTTGTTTTTGTATTTTTTTTTCATAAGATTCGTGAAGTATTTGAGTCTTTATATCCTTTGACATAGCATCTCGGTATGCAGACATAAAAGCTTAAGACCCTCTCTGAGTGGCTCAACAACATTGTCCGCGGTAGGCTGGTGTATCGAATGAGCGCCACACCGGAGTCGCATAAACGACGGTGGCGCCTAATTTAGCAGGGGCGTAACTACCTGTACGCACGGTACGCATGTACGTACCGGAAAAAGTCGGGCAAAAAAAGACATATAATGAATAAAAAATAAAAAGTTAATTCTAAAAAAAATAGCAAAATGTCTAAAAATAATTATTTTAAGAGCACGGTTCTCTTCAATTTATCTAATTCTGGTTGTTTCTTTGAAATTTGTTTTTTCTCTAAAACAAAGGACTTTCCTCTTACTCTCCACTCAAATGTCAGTTTCCAGATAAACGCAGTGATTCACTAATGGACCTAATCTTGAATAACATATATATCTAGTGAAAAGATGGCAGGCGTTTTTACTGAAAACGTTTTCGGATTCGTAACCGTGTGCGCAAATCGATAAATCCTGGGAGCAACAACGAAGGCGACGGTGACGGAAATGAGCCCAATAAGTAAATGAAAAACAACAAAGTTTGCACGTCCAGTGCGCTTTTCTTTACAACCTGTACGTAGGAACAAGACCGTAAATTTCTTTTCGCGACGTTGTTTGCAGGGCGTAAACACAGGGACAAATTCAATTTCTTCTCTGAGTCCGAACTTGGGTGTGGTTCTCAAGACTCCCTAGGAAGTTCACCTATATTTGCCATTTTAAAAGATGTTGAAGGAAATAAACGCGAAAAAGTTAAAACAAAAAAAAAAAACGCGCATTCATTTTGATAGCTAGGGACGTTTTCGTTGCCATCACCGTCGTCGTTACTAAGGCGCCCTATATTTATGAAAGTGACAGTTCCATTTTGGTTTTATTGCAAACTCGTATGATCAAATGCGGAAAAGTATCCGGATAAGTTGGACAAATTGTTTACACTACAAAACATTGCGAATTTACAAGGCATCGGATTCAATTTAGATTTCGTTTTCAAAATCTATAGAGACTTGACCAAATCGGCACCTTTTCAATTCGGATTCACGCGCTGCATCTGTTTAAAAACTACAAAATGAACCCAGTAACAAAATAAAGTAGCCTTATTGTAGGATAGATGATTGATGTGCATCAGTCAATGGACCCAAACACCTGACAAAGTATTTCATAAGTTGCTAATGCCATTTCATATGCAGAAAAAAATCTTAGGCCTACAACGTAACGAAATCTTTAATCAAGGAAGTTTTTTTCGGGAAGCGGGGGAGTGGGGGTAGGGGGGTCTGAAAAAATCTTGGCTACGCCCCTGTTTAGTAAAATCGATATGAATATGAAATTGGATCCACACGGAGGGTCCAAAAGCCGATTTTAAAAATGTCATCCTAGATCCTTCAGCTGTTGTTCAGATGTATGTATTTTTACATCATTAACGTGGTAGAATGCAAGCGTCTGTAAGAACAGGGTAATAACTGCTAACAAGACGTGAGACGAGAAAAGACGTAAAAACAGTGTAGGGGTCTCGACCGGGAGAAATGTTCATGCTAGGGAAACCTTCGACAATGCCGGATTCAGACTTCGCGTCAGTTCTCACCTCTACTGATTTTTCGAATTCAGAGGTTTTTGTCCACGTTGGGCTTTAATAGAAAATTCTGTCGGTGAATTCTCCCTGGTACCAAACAATTTAGTACTTGTAATATGCCCAAGGGTAGGCAATCTCGATTTTGACTTACAATTTAACTTCGACTCCACAAGGTTTAGATATGCAAAGGATGCGCTTATCACTTTCTTTTTCACGCGTGTATCTTGTGATATTAGGGACCTTAAGCATCGACGACGACGCCGACCGGAAGTGAAATTTTCCCGCGCGAACCTTCTGGGCATGCGTAAGGTTGTCAAAACGTTGTCCAGCCTTCGTCGACGACGAAATTGAGGGAGGTTTGCCGTCGTCGCTAAAACGTATGTATAAAACTATACTTTTTGCGTGTAGATCATTCGTTTTCCCCCTTTTCATTCAGTACAAGTAGAAATATATTCTTTGTGGATTAGCAGAATCCAAATGTTAAGCACTTTGTCGATTTCTTCGGCTGCTAACTTGAATTTATTTTAAGATTCGGTTTGTTTGAAAACTAGCCTGAATTTCATCCGATTGCTTCGAGTCGTTTTCTCCTTTCAGCAACGTCTGAATCGACCAGCCGTTAATGCCGTCCAGTGACGTCATCGCTACTCGAAAACCGGGTAGTGGTTTTGATTGGTTGATTGTCTAAACATTCGCATAATTATGTTTATTATTCATTCAAACTGATTCAAAATATTTCCCCAATTCTGATTGGTTAAAAGCACACACATAATTCACCATAACCAGCTACCGATGACCAAATTTGGAAGAATTTTGTGTTTAACGAGGAAATGACGTCAAAAATGCAGCCTCCTACAGGTTAATACACCGTTAATCGAGAAGACCTGGGGACGAGATTGAGTTGTTTTCGTTGTAAAAACTAAAATGGCGGACACTTCACTCGTTTCAAGAGTAAGAACTACAGCTGGAACAAGGCGAAATAATGGCTAAAAACATAGCAAAAACATCAAGAAGACAACTCGGAGGGCGACATCTGCTATTTGGAGAATATTTGCGGAACTGGACAAACCTAAGCGTAAACTATAGAAGATAAACTTAACATCGATGCAGGTAAGCTTGTTTTAGCTATTTTTTTAAACTAGGAATTATTTTGAATGAATAATAAAACAATTATTGAATTTGGCTTTCGTATCTTACGAAGAATTATGGAGATCGAGGAGGGTGTTATCCGCCTTGGCCTACGGCCTAGACGGATAACACCCTCCTCGATCTCCATAATTCTTCATAAGATACTCAGCCTCATTCATTAATTGTTAAATAATTATGAGACATTTTAGCGGGATTGTCGCTTGATATTCAGCGGATCGCATCGGTGGCATGCTTGCGTGGAGTTCAAACATTTCGATAATCTTTATCGTAAACAGCAAAATTGCCCTTGTCCTCGAAACTGAATTGCTTAATTGAACTGCGAACGAAGAATCATTGCGGAGAGTATGCAGGTTTTTCGTTTAGAGCCGCTTTGTGGTTTCCGCAGTGATTTTGTTTATGCGAAGTTTCTGAAGCCAATGTCGACCTTTTTGCTATTTTCACCGTCAACTTGTAATGATTCTGTTAGCTTTTCTTTCTTGTTTCCTTGTTTTCTTTTTTCTTCGTTAAGGACCGAATAGCTTCTTTTCAATTAAAGGAAATTGTTGTGTTTTTGAACTATAAAGTGTTCCGTGTGTGTGTTTATTTCATTGCCTGATTACGACCCAGCGTGAATTACAACCGGGTCAGAGTACTGCATGCAGTTGATAGTTTGAACGTTAAACATGAATTACCATCGAAAAGACTGTTCTGTATCATAGAGCGGTTTTCACTTGACTGTCGTAAAACCAAAACCAAAGTAAATACACTAGCCAACCAAAGGGCGTAGTAAAACCAAAACCAAAACCAAAACCAAAACCAATCCCTTTCGACAGTCAAGTGAAAACCGCTCTATAGACATTTCCAAACGATATTTCTTGGTTTGCCACTTGAAAATCGTGTTTTACTTTTGGCATGAATTTAAGCAAAGGAGTACTGACGTCACTGGACGGCATTAACGGCAGGTCGATTCAGACGTTACTGAGGGAAACGACTCGGAATAATCGGATGAAATTCAGGCTATTTGAAAACCTGAGTGATCGCGGCACAACCAGTCGGAAAGACAGGTAAGCTTTCCTCTGCTATCTTCCGAACCTTTTAGATTAGATGGTGTTCGTTCCTTTACGGTCTATGTTTACTCGTGCAGTCTAGGTTGTGCTATAAGATTTCTTACTAAAACTTAATAATTATTCATGTTGTTTTTAGTCGCTAGCAAAGGCAACTATTTTCCAGTAGACTCAGGAACATGATGTGGCTAGGAGGAGCCCTGAGAGAGGACAAATATGGGAGAACATTGTAGCAGCACTGAATTCTCTTTAGTAGCCGAAATTTAGCGTAACTGCAAGTCAAGAGCTGATCTAGATCGGTATACACTTTTAACTTCAAAACAAAACAAAAAAAGCTGCGCGACGAAAAGAAAGCCTCCAAAATCGAATAATCCAGGTCGTAAGAACAACAAACTCGCCATCGTCGATTAAACAATCGTCATAGCTTATAAGATGCAAATTACGGAGGTCTTTGAATGCCATAACAAGACTGTAACAAGAGAAAGTTCTTCACAAAGAAAAAGTCGTCGTCTGTCTGGGAAGCTTCAATGCTTAAACTTCGTTTTCCCCGCCGAAAACGAAACCCTTGGCCTAGTCTGCCTCGGTTGCGAAGCGTCGTCGTCGTCCCTTTCGTTGTCGATACTTAAGGTCCCTATTCAAATCCGTCAGCTCATAAATGATATCAAATGTGCAAGTGCTTTAGCTGACTGTGTAACTTTATGCCGTAGTGCAACAGTGATTAATATCAGGATATTACTTACAGCCACTTCCTACTTTTCTCCATCACTTCATTATGTTTGGATGGTCACTTCCCGAATATTTCTAAATAAAAAAAATTGAGTGGACTACTGAGTTTATCATTGTCTGAACTTGAGATTACGATTACGAAAACACCCATTGGCCCTTTTGTCGTTATCTTATCACAGATAAAGGAACTAGTGATAAGGATATTAGAAATGTTTTTAGCGGAGCTCTCGAGAAAATTTGGTAATCACGTGACCGTACACCGACCGACCGCCCGATTGTCCGTCCGCACCACAGGCATACCAATTTTTACTCTCACATTTTCTAGCTACTTTGGGAGCCCACTGATTGCACATCAATGTTGTGATCAATTGACAGCTGTCAAAGCAAGGTATCCGCTGACCAGTATCACCTAACCGTATCGCGGGCTCAAGTGTCGACCCATCCAGGTCGAGTATTTCTTGAAGTTATCCGCTGACAGGTTACTAGTTTTCAAATGATCGCAGGCTCTTTTTTAATTTCATATGAAATACGTTGTGTTTATGTCACTATGGCCCAGCACTAAAAAAAACTGACCTCAGGTGCAAAAATTCAATCAGTTATTTAAAAATGCAAAGAGGGAAGACAGATGCTTTTCACTTTTCTCACCATAGTCACGCGTTGGTCACGCTTCACGTCCAAGTTTTATGCTATAATTGGTCAAAATTTGACAGGTGAGTTCATGCGGAAAATTTATGCCGCATCTTGCGACTTGTTTACTTTGACAGCCGTAGCTGACAGAGTTTTGTGTCAACTTGTGATGTTTTTAACTGTCTTTTTACACTGGTTGTACAAAATGAAATACAGCTGCTATCAAGAGTCTTCTGTTATTCATTGCTGGTTTGTTTATTGAATTTTTGGTTGAGAAATACGCCACTTGTCAAAGTCGGAAATCCGATTTCGGATGGCATCGTTTTTGTTTTTTAACCTTGCTGGATGCGTAAGAGAATTATAAAGGCTCAAGCGATCCTGGTCTTACTTGATAGCTTGCAGGAGCTGCATCTCGAAATATGGTAAGCCTAAGTAATTATTGTATTTATATCTAATTTCATGCAGTCGAGCGCAGTTTATGAAGCTAGTTTATGCACGTTTGTATTAAGATTTGAGACACTGATCTGACCTAGTATGAGGTTTGATATAAGTTACAGAACTTTAAAAAGCCTTTAGTCGATATTTCACCGCGAATATAAAAAAAAACTTTCCGAAGAATATTTAGTTATAATTTTGGCTGCAGAAAGAAAGCTTTGAGCGATTTTCTTGTCGCGAGTTCATCTTTGAAAACAGCAAACACCGGGAAGCCGGCGGCTTAAAACATAAACTTAATCTTTAAGCTTAAAAACTCAGGATTCTTAGAGACACTTAAATACTCATTTGTTTTCGTGAATGAAAATTGTTGTCTCTGTAAATGTTCTACCGAATTATATTTCTTTACTGATTGTTAGTGGTCTCAAAAGTGCAATTTTCATCGCTTTGCCGTTTGTTTTCAATCGTTCATGGATATCGCTTGCAGGAGTACGCAATGCCGCGCGTATCAAACGCTTTTTAAAGGATGGTTTTCACTAGCGACGGAATCGGAGTCGGAGTCGTAATCAGAAGCGTACAGCTTATGATCTGGTGAAAACAGCGTTCCGATTCCGCTTACGACTCCGTCGCGTACGTTCCGCTTATGATCTAGTGAAAACCAGATTGTCGGAGTCGGAAGCAGAAGCAGAAGAACCAAACCAATCACAAAGCGTGGGAACGTGCATTTTGATTGGCTTATCCTTCCGCTTCTGCTTCCGACTCCGACAATCTAGTTTTCACTAGATCATAAGCGGAACGTAAGCGACGGAGTCGTAAGCGGAGTCGGAAGAAAATGGAAACGTTCTGATCCTTCTGACTCCGATTCCGTCGCGCTTATGACTCCGCTTACGACTCCGATTTTTGATTTTCACTAGGTCCTAAGCGCTCTATGATCTTACGACTCCGCTTACGATTCCGACTCCGACTCCGTCGCTAGTGAAAACCAGCCCTAAGATTACACATCGTTATAAAACCATTTATAAAAATAAACACAATAAATCCTTTATCATGTTGAGGCGTAACTCTTTTAAAATTTCTTTGCAAATTTGGCGCTTGTCAAAAGTTAGAACCGGCTGGCCCTATAGGTGATTTTGGAAATTTGTTGTTTCGCTAAAAGTCCAAGCGTGCCGGCTTTGATGGTCCAGAATATTGAATGAATGCAATTTGTCTTGAAAAATTGTGAACTACTGCATTTTGTACGAGGTCTGTATGATAAAAACAGCGCTTCATAAAACTCTTTCTCCTCAAATGTGATGTATAAAAAGTATAAAAGGTTGGTTTGGACGCACCCAGATTTGTTGGCAAGATTTTGTAAAGTAAACTTGTCGAACGCAAAAAATTCGGCCTGATTTGTTTTCCACGCCTAATCTACTGTGATCAAGAATCATTATTGCTCTTAAATGTGACCGAAGACTATTGCCTGGCTGTACATGTAAGGCGATGCAAGATTTATTCAAGTAGATTAAGGCCTGGTTCTTTACAAATTCCTCAGAATTTTAAAGGGGGTGGTCTAATGTAATTTGTTTTTAAAGATATCCCAGGTCTAATAAATTAAGGCTAATTATAACTAAGAAATCTTCAAATTTAATTTTAAAAATTGTTTATAACTGCATCACGTGACCAGCCACGCCCTGGTTTATCGAGAAATCCTTTGGGTCGAGATGCCCACTATGTAGAAAGCAAACTGTTTTCCTTTTGTAGGTCCAAACAGTGGCTACTCATAGGTCTTCTTGTAAAAACGGTTGGAATGAGACGACATCAAAGAAAATTTTAGCTAGAGAAGGACTGGCACTAGTCAATGAACACCAATTGCACCTACAGATTGTAAAGATTCCAACCATTCCAGGCTGATTTTGAAGACATTTTGTAGGGTCAAAGTTTTGATACAGAAAAACTGGAGCTACACGTTTAGCAAGTGGTGGGCATCGTTGGTTGCAATTTTCGAACATAAGAGGGCGTGGTCGATCACGTGACCTGGTAATTAGGATTTCTTTTTACAAGTTTTTTTTAAAGTTAGTTTACCTTACCATCTGTTGTTCCTGGAGGATGTCTTTAACAGTGGTTTTTGGAAAATTTGCATAAAAATCACAAATGGCTTAGAATCAAGCCTTAATCTACTAGAATTGTTTCACTCTAAAATCACTTAGCCTTTCCCTCAAAAGTCACATGAATGAGCCCAAGTTAACTGATTTGTGGAAATACAAGTTTATTGTTTCATTTAAATTATAAATTTATTGGTGGGAACTTCGCTTTTAGCCCTGGCTAAATCTATATTTTACGATTTTATACGTACGTGATCCCATCCTTTACGATCTTCGCAATCTCTAAACCAATTACGTGCCTGTCCTTGGTCCTAATATTCCTTTCTTGGTCCTCTATGCGAAGAACGAGGTGGCCTCCAAAATCGTCCGAGTTTATATGCCAATATTTGTGGGTAATCCCCAGGAGGACTCCTGTATAAAAGTGAAGGGGCTGCTCGTCGGAAAATTAAATTAAACTCCTAAGGGAGGCCAATGTGGGTGTGGCTCAAGCTTAAACTGACCCCTAAAGGAGATTTCTGTGAGGTCAGCGTCACGGCTTTTTTTTGCAAATTTCTTTATGCACAGCCCTAAGCGATACCTGAATGAGCGTATTTAGTTACTTTCCGTCCAAAACAACCGAAGTGAGACCAAAATCTGCAAACGACGAGCACCCACGTCACTTTTGTATGGGAGTCCCCCTAGGGAAGCAGGTCACCATGTGTTCCACTTGATTTTTCGTAAGGTCCATGATTACCATCTTCTGAAAGTATTGGCTCTGCTTCACTTAGTTCAGACTTCGATGAATGACAGGTTTCACGGTGAGAAGTAATGGTGTCCTGACGTTCGTGTGCTTTTATCAGTTGGGAGAAACCGCGTGAACTTCCACACTTTATTTTCCTACTTTCACTGATGTTGCACGATTCGAAATTAATGTTGAAACTTTATTATTTGCGTGTGCTAACTTCTTTATTAACTGGCTGCGATACAAAAGTAGCCTTGGATTCCGGACTGTCTCTTGGAGCGTGAAAACTAAAGCTGACCAATCTTGATAGGAAGAAACAGTCAGTAAAAGGAAGAAACCTTCTAATTGAAATTTCATTAACAAAGATCTTCAAATGTGGGTTCCTGATCAGTGGAAGGTAAATAAAGGAAAAATAGTAATTCACCGTTCACAGTCCAGTACTATCGCCCCATGTTAGCGAATACAAGACAGTCTTGGATTCTGGATCCCATTCCATGGATTCTGGATTCCGGGTGCTGGATTCCAGTCTTTTCCAGTGAAACTTGGATTCTAGATTTCATTCCTTAGTGTGGTACTTGAGCTCTATTCTGGATTCCAAAGCCCTGGATTCCGGATTCCATAAGCAAAATTTCCCGGATTCCGGATCCTACAAGCAAAATTTTTCAGATTCCGGAATCCGGATACCCTTACATGGGGCGAAGTACTAGTCAAACATTTTCTGAGCCTGTTCACGCATATTTAATTAAACAGTGGGAAATTTACTTTTCTTCTAACGTTCGATTTTATAATGTGATGGATCGGAGTAACTTCTGGTCAATGCAGCTTTTTCACACTGAGCCACATTTTAAACTAGAAGAGGTTTGGTTCTGAAAAGGTATTTTCCGTCTTGATATAACAGATTTAACACGAATGTTCGGGGCAGTGAGAAATTAAATGAAGCTTGGAAAGGTATATTTTACTTCCTGAACTAATTTTTGAACAATATATATCATTGGCAAAGGGAAAAAGGGAATTTTAATATAGTTTTGGTGAGAAAATGAGGCATATCTTACTTAAAAGTGGCCAGTATTTGAATAACTGAGGATTTTGCTGTGACAGCAGCCGGCACTATCAAGCAACGCAAATTGACTTCAATTCTGAATCGCGTTGTGGCACAAGTTTTATTACATAACTTGACAAAATAACTATTAATCTTTAACTAAAACATGTTTTTAGGCCTAGTTTAGGTGCCACATTTGAAAAATTTCGTGCAGTTTGATTTCTTAATTGGATTAGTGAAATTTAGTGAAATAAAGACGACCAGTTTTTGCTGATTACAGAAACATAACCCCTAAATGGTATTCAAGAACAGTAAGAAGAAGTAATATGCTTCCAAATGAGTGCAAATAGTCTAGGATTTGATGACCCGAAGAACTTTAGAACGATCGTTAAAAAACCTGTATAACAGAGACTAAAATTTGCATATTTTAGCCGCTAACGGTCGTCCAGCAATGAAATGCTGGGAATGGCAGTAAAATAAACAATTTCCTCATTCTAACTGAAATCGAGTGGAACGCTTTTAGCGAGACTACCTCTTACTATATTTGTCGTTGTTTCTGTTACATACGTGTTCAATATTAGGGGAATATTGGCTTATAGAAAACGACTCTTTGTTTCTGACACCAGTTAGCCGATTTTCCACAATGAGGCACCGCCCGGTCGTCTTGGTTTCATTGTGGAAGAAAGGGCTTGTTATTATTTTAAAAACAAATTAACTAGCATTTTAGGGATAAGAAGATGCTGAAAAAAACCCTCTGAAATCAAATAGCTTATTCTTGAGGACGATAAAGATACCCACCTGGGCTTTGTGTCGCTAACATGGCTCCAACTGAAACAGACGTCACCAGAACGTTGCTTATTAAATCTCCACGGAAACCAAGCCAGCGTGTTGATGCCAGTAGCATTATTGAGGCTGGTGTGTTTTTGTCTTGGTACCTAAAAAAAATTGACACGGAAGGAATGTGTTTACCTTTCTTTTCTTTTATTTCCAGTTCTTATGAATCACTGAGTGTTTAACAGGAACATATCCGCCTGCTGGTCTTAACGGTTAGTGTTAATCATACTTATTATTCATTCAAGATATTTCCCCGATTCTGATTGGCTAAAAGCACACACATAATTCACTTTATAAAATAACTGAGGTAGTACGCGTGATCTGATTGGTCAAAAACCTATGGTTTATTATACCGGTAAACCCATAGAAAAAGGCATCCGGACCACGAGCCATAAACAAAACCCGCTATTGATCTGCAAACAACGATTTTAGAAAGGCTAAAAAACAGAACAAGTTACTCACCGTAGCCCTTCTTAATATTAAAAGCGTTGGTTTCCACATTTTATTACTGAGGGTCACAATTCGCGACTGCCATAGCTTTAGAAGTTATAAAGTACAAAACTGGAAAGCAGTTTACTTTTCACGACGATGCCAAATCGCAGAGAAAGACAACAACTGTGTGAATTTCTGGTGTAGAAAGTCTCTAGGAAAACTTAACCATGTGCCAACCAGCAACAAAACGCATAGTTTTAGCATTCTTGATTTATTTTACGTCAAAATTAAATTCCTTAATGAAAGAAATTGTTACAAAAAGAGATCTCTGATCAAGATATGGTACAAAATCGGCCGCTGTAGGTTGTAAACAAGCTGCCAACGATGATGAAAGATATCAGAGTTTCGGGCTGGTTTTTTCCAACATTTGCACAAATTATTAGGTGATATCGATGGCATAACCTACCTCAAACCACCTGACTTCACAAATCGACAAATATTAGCGCCAATATGTGGCTACGGCAAAGAAACCTTTCTTCACCACTGACATATTTCCATCGGTCGCTGTACGTGCATATAAAGTTACATGCGACAACTTCGCAAATGCAGCCACGTCGTTACCGCAGCATTTCTTGATCATAATAAAGTCCAGAAAACAGATCTTAAACCACTGCGGCTTGTAAAAAGTGAATGAAGTCCTCCATTACAATAGCTGCCAGTTCCGTCTGTAGGCACGAAATTTTTACCGATCGACTCAACAAAATACAGCTGCGTAAAGTCTGATGTTCAATTAATTTCTACTTCTGTAGTAAGCAAACCATGAACGTATTCTTTCATTGTACGTTCGCATGAATATGTGTTGACTTTTCCTGTAAAACAGCTTTCATAAGTTATCGTAATGAGCGCAAAAACTCGTGTTTTGAAGTGCTGTTGTTTGTTGTTTGACTGAATTGAGTTTTGAGAAAGTTCAGCACTATTAAATCGTGAGTCATGATTGGCTTATGATGATTTTAGAGAGAAGACATGACTTGATCACGGTACTAAAAGCATATTTTTCCCCTAAAACACTCCATTCTACTAAAAGTTATTTTATAAAAGCAATAGACCACACTTTCTATGGGTTTACCGGCGTGATAACCCACTTGGGATGTTGGGAGAACACTCGAAAAGCTTGTAAATCACTTTCCTTCGGCTCGTGATTTACAAGCTTTCCTCGTGTTCTCCCAACATCCCGCGTGGGTTATCACGCCGGTAAACCCATAGAAAGTGTGGTCTATTGCTTAAATAACCAGTCACCGACGACCAAATTTGGAAGAATTTTGTGTTTAACGAGGAAATGACGTCAAAAATGCAGCTTTCTTGCAGGTTAAGGCACCGTTAACCGAGAAGACCTGGGGACGAGGTTGAGTTATTTTGGTTGTGAAAACAAAAAATGGCGGACATTTCACTCGTTTCAAGAGCAAGAACAAGGCGAAATTATAGCAAAAACATGGCAAAAACACAACTCGAAGGGCGACATCTGCTATTTGGAGAACATTTGCGGAGCTGAAAAGCCCTAAACGTACACTATCGAAGGTGAACTTGACATCGATGGAGGTAAGCACGTTTTAGCTTTGTTTTGAAACTAGGAATTATAATTTTGAATGAATAATAAAACAATTATTGAATTTGGCTTTCGTATCATATGAAGAATTATGGAGATCGCGGAGATAGAGAATACTTCATGGAAAGTGCTGGCGTACGGTATTTACGCACGAGTTGTTGACGTATCAGAAATCGAACGAGTGAGCGCAGCGAACGAGTAAGATTTCTGATACAAAAACAACGAGTGCGTAAATACCGTACAAAGCACTTTCCATGTGGTATTGTGTTTATTATATACATACTGAGACATTCATCATTTTGGCGGCCTTTTTATTTTAAATCTTTCAAAAATGCTAAAATTTGCCGCTACACACTTACCGCAAAATGACAACGAAAACGAAGTATCAGCTTTTTAGTAAAAACGTTTGTTAAAAACATAAATGACGGTGAGGATATGAGGTAATCCAAGAACTATAAGTAATCTTAACTGTTTGTTCTCAATGCACAATTGAAAATGAGTGAATTTAAGTAAAATGGCCGGTTTCAATATAAGCTTAAGCTTAAATGAAAGGCAAAGTAGCTCCGACAAAAAGCACAACAAAAGCTAACGTCTCGTTCTGTTTATCCCTTTCCGCTGTTGTTTCGCCGGCTCTCTACCGTATTTTTTTATCGACAGTGAAACAAACGAAACTATTCCACTCCATTTCCGAAATGTTTTTCACTTTTTTAGCGAGAAAAACTCCTTGAGTAAAACTTTTCTCGTTGAATGTGTGCGAAGCGGCGCTGCAAGCTGCAATAAAAGGCGGGAATTTTGGCGCGAAACTCGCACACCTCTGTGGCTTCTGATTGGACGTATCATTTTTCTCACACGTGAAAAAACATCGTTCGCGATTCTGATTGGACGTATCGTTTTTTTCACGTGTGAAAACCATCGTTCGCTCCTCTGATTGGCTAGAACTAATTTGCGTACGAAAATTTACAACATAGCTTTTTGGTGAGTATTTCTCAGTATGTATATAATAAAGTGTTATCCGCCTCGGCCGATAACACCATCCTCGATCTCCATAATTCTTCATATGATACTCAGCCTCATTCATTAATTGTAAATTAAGGAAAAGTCAAACTATAATCATTTCGAATACTATGTATACCGAGAACAATTATTTGAACTTGTCGACACGCTCACAAAAATGAAAATATAAGATTCCAAGTTATACCCACTTTCGTCAGCATAACATACCGAACGCCGTTCAGGAGCAAATCATTTAGGAGCAATTAAGTTACATACTTGAAAAATTTCTGCAGGAAGTCATCTTCCATTTTTGATGAGCGAATTACTTCTGATCCTGCTACGGTATTGGCAATGAGTGAATATACAGGGCTACAAGTCACTGCCTCCAGCCGTCTGATTTCCCGAGAGGATTTCACATAATACTTTGCAAGGTAGATAAACAAAATTGTCAGTGGAACACAAATGATAAATATCCACATGTTTACCACAGCAGACAGAATGGTGGCACTGAAAAAATAAAGACAAGATAGCACTGCGTCGAGAAATTGTGGTGGAAGCATAATGTCCATACTACCAATGTCTTTAGAGAAGCGATTTAAGATACGACCAACCGGGTTTGTGTCAAAGAAGATGACTGGTGCTTCAATAACCGCTTTAGTCATCTTGTTATGAAGATTTTCTGATGCCTTTAAAGCTGTCAGATAAAAGCAAAATGAGGACACAATTGTAAACACCAAGGAAAATGTGACAATGGATCCATACACCAGGAGCGTAGTATAGTCCTTCTGTTTTTCTTTTGGCATGTCGATCATTCGTGAAACCCACCAATACGGAGCGATCCATAAAACTGAAACACCAACAACAAACAAACGAACAAACAAATTATTTATTTGATCCAGTGGAGTCTAGTCATTGTTAGTTTATGAGAAGTGGTTTACTTAGGTATACTGTTATATCCCTAGGCTTTCACTCAACTAAACAGGGACAGCCATTGGTTGATTCTTGGTCAGGTGGCCTTAACTAAAATAAAATGTATCCTTATCGTGATAAATTAGAGAAATTATACCCCCCTTGTGATCAACACGTGATTAAAGCATGGAGGAAAGTGGAGTTACAGAAGGCGGGAAAATTGGAAAAACACACACTCAACACACACTCCTCAACCTAGTAAGGAACGGTTTCTGAAGTCATCCAAGGAGAGATACAGACATTAAGTGTATAATGTTAATGTGACTTAGCGGAGTCCAATTCGACCTTTAATTGTACCAGAGATTAAAGGGACGACCGCGTAGCAAGAGTCTAATTTGTTTGGTTACGAGTATGATTGCAGACCGAATACTACGACAAGACGACCGACAATAAGAAGACCATTTACCATGCATTGAATCATAACAAAATCAAAATCAGAGACAAGCACAAGATATCCCTTGAGTTTTTTCTAGAAGTAAACAAAACAGACAAACAAAAAACCCATTGAAGTTCAACTGTCTTATGACAGCACCCAAAGCGCATGACACTTACTGTCCTATTAAACTGTCCTGTTTATTTCATAGTTATAAATACCTTGGACAACGACGAAGAAGCAGGCAAGGCTAAAAATTAGACGAGTTGAAAGGGAGGCTTTAAAGTATTTCCAATACAATTGCCATTTTACACTCCCAACCATTCGGTCCTCCTCCTCTTCTTTTAGATCCACTCTCTCTCCTAGTTTAGGAACAATATTGACGCTCTTGACAGCTTCGTCTTCATCAAAAACGTTTGCATGATCATCTATTTTAGTCTCTTGTTTTCCTTGAGGAAAAATAGAAAACTTTCTCATCCTTTCTTTCTCTATGTGACCAAAGGTACCTTGGTACTCTACGGAACCATTGTGAAGTACAACAACGTTGTCTGTATGTTGGAGGAACTGTAATTGGTGTGTCACCAAAATACGCACCCTCCCAGCTAGAAATCCGACAATACATTTTTCAAACAAATGTTTGCCGACTTTGGCATCCACTGCACTGAGAGGATCATCTAATAGGTAGATATCCGCATCTGAGTAGATTGCGCGTGCCAGACTCATTCGTGCACGCTGACCGCCACTCAGGATTACTCCACGTTGCCCTATCTCCGTGAGATCACGTTTTGGAAATAGTGATAGATCTTTTCTTAGGTCGCAAACTTCGATGATCTTATTAAACTTTTCTTCGACGAAAGGCATACCAAAGACTACGTTCTCTCTCACCGTGCCAGAATAGACCCAAGGCGTTTGGGAGACGTAAGCCATTTTTCCAGTACAAGACATTTGACCAGATGATATTGGAAGTTCTCCTAAGATGGTCATCAATAAAGACGTTTTGCCACTCCCCACTGGTCCAGTTATACCTATAAGTTGCCCACTAGAAGCTTGCAATGAAACGTTCTGTAATGCTGGGCGATCTGAAGAATAGTTCCAAAAACTGGAAATGTTTTCTAAAACGGCCTGCGGTTTAATAGCTTGGACGTTCTTAATCTTTTGGAAACTCGTCAAAGCTGGTTTTCCTGGTTTGAAACTCTCGGTTCTAACTAAGTGTGGTTTATACCTCCTGCCTTTAAAATAAACTTTTAAAGGAGACATATTCTGTCGTTTGCTTATTTTAGATTCGATGACTGGTTTTGTTTCCAACAATCTCTGCATTCTTCTTAATGCAATCATCGAGTCTGCAATCCATATTAGACTCTCTCCAATACAGAATGTTACAAAAAACTTGATGTTCGCTAAAATTGAAAGCAGTGTGAACACCTTCAATGATGTCAGGCTGTGTTCAGTGAAAACCAGTGTTGCAACTGATAGAAACCCTGCGATGGTGTGGCTAGTGAAGCCCAGGGCGTAGATAGTGGAGATAAAAAATCCACGCACACGAATCAGAGACATTTCTTTTCTGCAAAATAGAATTGTTGTTCATAAGAGTTCAAGTAGTTAGATCATCAACTTTCCTTTTAAAATTTTGAGCACACGGTGCTCTCGCATATAACAGAGTTCATTTTAAAACACTGCTGTAATAGTCTCTTCTAGGGGAGGACGGAGGATTTTGTGATAGAGGGGGCCTAGAGATATAGTATACAGTGGCAATATGGGCGAGAGCACAACAACAACAACATCTTTTATTTAAACACGGTGGGTTTCAAAGCTAATATAGCTTATGGGGCCGAGTAAAAAATGTCAATAAAATAATAAAGATTATTAAAATTGAATGTGGTCAATAAAAGGTGAAATACGTACAATAAAAGATATGAATAGAATCAATAAAAGACGAAATCACTGTCAATTTGGGGACGGCCCATTTGCGGTAACTCTTCATTAAAGTTCAAGTTTCTGAGGGCGTGAGACTTTTTTGCCCTTTTAGCATAATCCCTGGCGCTGACAGTGGATGGTTCTAAAAGATTCCAAACAATGGATCCTCTGTAAGAAATAGAGTTTTTCATATATAATTTTCAAAACATTCTACCCTAACACGATGTTGATGACGGAGGTCATACTTAGACTCTTTCCTTTGGATTATATGTTAAAAGCATGATGGGAGTTATGCTGTTGTAGATATTTAACAATTAATGAATGAGGCTGACTATCTTATGAAGAATTATGGAGATCGAGGAGGGTGTTGGCCGAGGCGGATAACACCCTCCGAGATCGTCATAATTCTTCATATGATACGAAAGCCGAATTCAATAATTGTTTTATTATTCTTTCAAAATAATTTCTAGTTTAAAAACATGGCTAAAACATGCTTACCTAAATCGATCCATAGATTTTAAGTTCATCTTCGATAGTGCATGTTTAGGGTTGTGCAGCTCCGCAAATATTCTCCAAATGGCAGATGTCGCCCTTCGAGTTCTGTTCTTGCTGTTCTTGCCATGTTTTTAGCTATTTTTTCACCTAGTTCTTACTCTTGAAACGAGTGAAAATGTCCGCCATTTTTCAAGTTCACAACCAAAACAACTAAACCTCGTGCCCAGGTCTTCTCGGTTAACGGTGCATTAACCTGCAAGAACGCTGCATGTTTGACGTCATTTCCTCGCTAAACACAAAATTCTTCCAAATTTGGTCATAAGTAACTGGTTATGGTGAATTAAACGTGTGCTTTTAGCCAATCAGAATCGGGGAAATATTTTGAATGAATAATAATATAAATTAAGGTGGCTACTTTGACCCTATAAGTGTCGAATAAAGAGTCCCAGTGAGATGTTTTTCTTACATCCTCAGAGGGCATGTCGCGCGGAAGGTTATATATAACTCTAGCGGCCCCACAATGTATGGATTCCAAAGAATTAAATTCGTTTTTATTTGATTGGTAGCGTATATGTAGCCGAGGGTAAAATGACTTTAAAATATAAATCTAAAAGCGAATTCCTGGGTAAAAAGCGGCTGCGTTTGATAACATTGAGCTTGTTAACGAACCCTCTCTTGAGCTCTGATATGTGTTTTGTCCACGTAAGCTTGTTGTCAATGGTTACACCTAACACCTTAGAACTTGAGGACCATTTTATGAGATGCTGGTTAATTTTTAAACTGCCTAAGGGACCGATAAAATGATTTTGTTTAAGGATCATTCCCTCGCACTTTTTGGGGTGTGGTACCAGGGAGTTATGTTTACACCAGAGGACAAGTTCTTCTAGGGCTTTGTTCAGCGTTGTTGTGGCTTGGTCTACAGATTCACCAACACAGTACATGGTAGTATCATCGGCATACGGGAACGTCATTGCAGTGTTAACTGCTTTCGGTAGATCGCTTGTGTACAAGACGAAGAGTATGGGCCCGAGTACGGAACCCTGTGGTATACCGGGTGCAACTTTAGTATTCTCAGAGGGTACGCCATTAATTACAGTATACTGTTCCCGTCCAGAGAGATAATCTCTTAGCCATGCCAGTAAGTTTCCCGTGATTCCAAAGTTGTGCTCTAACTTGTGAAGAAGGATTGAGTGTGAAACGCAATCGAACGCCTTCTGGAAGTCTATGAATACGGCGCCCACAACTAATTTTTTATCGATTGCTCGTCGCCAAGTTTCAGTCAGGTGGATGAGTAATAGCTCTGTCGATCTTCCTTTTCGGTAGGCCCATTGGCTGTCAGTGACGAGCGCTTCGTTGTCCGAAAAATATGCTTCGCAATCATGTCTGCTACACATGATTCTAAAATCTTGCTAGGTATACTTAGTAAGGAGAGGGGACGATAATTACTCATTTCCGTAGGATCATTTTTTTTGAATACAGGTGTTAGTCTGGCCACTTTCCAATTATTGTAGACTCTACATTCGCGTATGCTTTTCATGAAAAGACTTGTCAGCGGGGCAACAACAGCAGTATCTGCGAGTTTCAATAATTTGGGCGATATACTATCCGTTCCGGTGGCTTTATTATTCTTCAATAATGTTATTTTCCTGTCAATATCAAGGCTAGATAGACTAATATCGGATATACATGGTACAGGTATGGAGCATGGACTAGTCAAGAATTGTGGTGCTTGGAGTTAACTTTCCCAGAATTTAATTTCTCAGCTATCGTAAAGAAGAAACAGTTCATAAATCTCGCCTTCTCCTTGTCTTTTACCGCTACGCTGTTGTCGTCACGCTTTAGTGGACCTATCTTCTTCCTTACTTTGGGTTTGGTAGCTTTGGATAATACATTCCAATACGCCGAGGTGGTCTTCGCCTTTTTCAGCTGATCTCTGAAGTATGCAGCCCTCGCTTTCCTAAGGTCAGATGTTATTTCGTTTCTCAGCCTCTTATAGTCGGCCCATGTCACTTTGGATCCTTAGTTTCAACTTAACAGCTCTTAAGCGGCGATTCATTTTCAACTGCAGATTTTCATTTCGCAAGCTACAGATTTTCATTTCGTTTCGTTCCATTCGTTTCGTTTCGCTCCATTTCGTTTCGCAAACTACAGTAAGCCCACGAACTACAGATGATGATACGATGGTTTCAAGCAATGGTCCTAAAGCACTGTTGGCACTTTGGTTTTTTGACGGTCGGTCCAGGGTTCTCGCTAACGTCTCCACTTATTATCACGCGTATTAGTTGGAACTGTAGAATCTGAGTTCGCGTAGCGGCTAACTCGTGTTCCATAATAGCCTACCACCTTGCTTAAACTTCCAACATGGCGCCAGCGGGTTGTAAGCCTTATAGTAACACGGGTCTGTACAGCTTCTCTGAAGTGTCGATATGATGTAATTTCTGACTCAGGCATGGCTAGGTTAGTTGATTCATCGTCGGAAGGTAATTTCTTCGTGCTTCTGATAAGCAGCACGAGTAAAATAATAACCCTCTTTCATACTGTACATGATTAACATTTAGTGTGGAGGTGAATGACAGGTGGTTAGTGCGTGTAATAAGCATGAATCTTCTTTAATGCAAGTTGTTCAAACGTCCCGACTTCAAACTAACGAAGTACCATTCTTGTTAAAGAATAAACTAACCGAAACTACTAACCGTCTCAATTGTGCAACCAGTTGCCTGAAGTTCCCCTCCCAAGCGTACATTTTCACCAAACGGAATCCAGAAAGAATCTCTTTTATTATCTCTAATCTTCTATCAGTTTGTGTGGCAGCTTTAGCGCGAAGCCTCCCAGATTTATGAGCTGCAAGGATGTCATAGGCAGTGACCAAGACGAAGAAGAAAACTCCTATCAGAGCTTGCCAGGCTACTAAATACCACAGGAGAATCAAAGCGATTATTAGATCCAGGATTGCAAACGACGCGTGCAAAGCATAAAATCCCAATTTCTCAATGACTTGGGCGTCGTTCGAAACAAGATTAATTGCGTTTTCCGAAACGCTGTCTTCTAAGACACATCTGTTAACAGAAAGAATCTAAAAAAGAAAACAAAAGAAACGGAAACACTCAGTTACTTACTGTACGTAGCCTTCGGATACAGACGTCAGTGAGACGTATTTGCGGGTTGTCGCTTCTCTCCCCTCCCCGAGAGTTACACTTTTCGGTTGGAGAGAAGCGACGACGGGAAATACGTCTGTGTCCGCAGGCTATTACTTACCTTCCCGTGTCTTAACACTACGCGTTGGAAAGAAGTTATATATACAACCATCTTTTGCTATAAATTCTTGAATTCTGAAAAACCGGTTAAATCTTCTTAAGAGAAATCTGTTAACGGATTTCGAATGCTAATATAGAATCGTCAAGGCCATTCACGACTTTTTTCATTTCATAGACGGTAATACGCTGCACTGAGTACATTCCAGCGGGCACATGACCCTATGGCGTGTCTCTGTGATGTACATTTGTGTGAAAGCAACAACCGTACACTTACCGCCAATTCAGTTATTATAACGTGCTTGGAAAGGAGAAAACTAATGTCGATTACTCAAGATAAAAAGTTTAAAGGGCAATGGTGACAATTTAATAAAAAAAGGTTGATCTTACGTTCCTTTGATTTTCCAAAACTTTGTAAAGAATTCCACGAGTATTTCTTTACTTGTTTTAAGACTAACCTCAGTAATTGTTGTTAGTCATATTTCATAAATATAAATACCTTTTTGTAAACCAGTCCAACAACAGCCACTTTTAATCTAATTGAACACATTTGTCCCTTGAATACCCCGTGCATTGCAAACATATTTCGTGCAACTAAGGTCACAGAAATACAGACCACAAAAGGCAGGGAGGATGTGTAGCTTATTTCAATGCTATCTGAAGAAATGCTTTTCAAGAAAAGCCAAACCATCAAAGGGAGGAGATTCATTGATAATGAATAAAATATTCTCAAGAGGGCCAAAATAATGTATTCCCTGTAAGGAATTATCCTCAGCATGGCTCTCCAAAGGCGAGGCTTTGTTCGTGTTTGTTGGGACCATCGCACTTCTGCTAACCACTCCCTCTCCAAGAAATCAACAAGGTCCTTTGCATGAAATGAACGTTCCAGTGGAAACAAGTGTTTCTCCTCCAGAGGATGCTTACTGCCCAGTTTTAGAATATCACTCAGCCAAGAGAAAGTTAACAATGAAATAAGCCCTGCCGTCTGTCTGGGATTTTTATTTGAAGCGTCTTCCATAACTCTTTCTTTAGTCGAACTTGAAGAAATATAGAAACAAAGATTACTCAAGAGTTTTAAGTCAAATGGGTGAAATCATGTTCTGGCCCCAGTTTTTTCAAAAGGTGGATAGCGCAATCCACCGGAGAAATCTCTATCCAGTGGGTAATATAAGTATAAGGGAAACCAATTGCGCGCTATCCAATGGATGGAATCGAAATTTATCCGGCGGATATATTTATGTATAGGGAAGGTGTGGAGAATAATAACTTTGACCCAACTATAGCCGAGACAAAAGGGAAGAACTAGAAAACCGTCTGTGATCTGCCCGACTTGTTGCATTTAACTATGAAATCAATCCACTTCCTATTAACCCTTCGCAAACGATATATGAGTTGAGGGATACTGAAATTCCATTGGAACTGTACTATTCCTTAAAGTGCCCATCACCTAAAATTTTTTATTCTCTTATCGGAAACTATACCTTATTAAAATAACTTCTGCGAAAAAATTTTGCGGTTTGAACAAAACGCGATTTTTTTTACCAATTTTTGAAGTCTACATTTTTGCGGTACACCCGCGACGCTGGTCACGCAAACTAGCAGGCTCACATATGACGTCATGTGACGTAAATTAAGGAACTCGCATTACCTTGCCTTCATCAGGTGTACACAAGAAAAAACAATTACAAGTAAGGATTGAATCACAATGTCTTCGCAAGGAGAAAGTTTTTCTGAAACAGAAAAACCTACCAGAACTCTTAATGTTTTCCTGTCGATAAAGTCACGTGTTCCTTAAAGTACGTCATATAACGTCATACTCTGAGAGAAGACTAAGACGAATGGTGTGCCAAAATGGCGGCAAATATGAACGTTTTTAAAAAATTCTAAAAAAAATCGTCTTTGGTTCAAATCGCAAAATTTTTTTAGCAAAAGTTATTTTAATAAAGTGTAGTTTCAGATAAGAAAATATAACATTTTAGGTTATGGCCAACTACTGTAACAGTTCGCAAATATAATGTCCACACTGACACAGAAATCTGTAGTTTGACGCGTGTCATTCTGCGCAGTAGTGCTCATTGTTTTAATACTCCGCCATATCTGCAAATGTAAACATATCTTTGTGCGGGGGCGGTATTAGCCTGCGAACAGCAGACGCTTTTCCGGTCGTCGAGGGAGAGAAGCGACGACCGGAAATGCGTCTGCTGTTCGTAGGCTAGGGCGGTATCTGTTCGGTCATCCTAGCACAAATTGAACCTTTTCGAAATTACTAAGTCTTCAGTATTACTTTCCCGAAAATTTTAGATGCAATTTACAGTTTTGAGAAAATGAGAATTTTTCTAATTCCTCTTCGAATCCGAAAATTTTAGTTTTCCTTTTTCTACGAAAAATAGCTTATATTCGGGGGTGAAATGCGTAAACTTAAAATTCAGAAAAATCTTAGAGATAAGCTTCGAAAATTGTACATAAATGAAACAGTTACCTAGAAATTTCTAGCCGTCCTCAAGCTATAGAAAATTCTAGGCCATTCCTCCGAACAGATATTTTATAGAAAACTGTCACTGGGTGCCCCTGGTACCTTCGGAAGGCTTGCTTTGAAATTTAGTTTGCTAATGATAATTTTAAGCGCAAAAACAAAGGCAACTGCAACTGCTGTACGCATATGTTGCAAATTGATGAACCTAAGAGTGGTTTGTCAGTAAGTCTGATTAATTCCTATTTCGCTTTTCACATTTTCCTTTTTTCTTTTTTGCTTTTTTCTATAACGGCGTTACTGCAATCACAGGCAGCCCAAGCGCACTATGTTTGAGTTCGGGCTTCAGAGGTCATTTGGTCGGAATATACTAGAATTATTAGTGTATTATCTGATGCCAAATAAATGCAAAAATCTTAAAGATACGAAGTCTTCTTGTTTGTCTATCTGTACTAGTAGCCTTTAAGATAACGAAGGTCGAGATTTCTTGCATTATTACGTGTGATTCGGGCCCTTATTGTTCGAATTTTATCACATGTATTCGAATCTACAACGCTAAGAGAAAAAATCGTCATCGTGATCACGTGAAATATTGATTCAAAAAGCTCCCTTACCTTTAATTCATAGCAACTCTGTGTCCTACGGCCGGTTTAAACGCCGTTTAGTCGACTTTCTTTCCATCGAGTACTGAACACTATAAACGGCGTTTAAACCGGCCGTAGGACACAGAGTTGCCATGAACTAAAGGTAAGATGACTAGCCAGATTATCCGTCCTTTCGAATTCTTTCGATTCTAGTCAACATGTATGTTGAATGAAAAGATGTCAATTTGTCTCAGATCACTGCTTTAATACTGAGGGATTAAAGTTTTATCTAATCGTTGTGCGTATTGCAAAACCCCTCGAGGGTTACCAAGAATAGTATATTTACTATTAGTAATGCACCTTTTTTACCAATTTTGCCTTTATATATGTCCCATTCTAGCTCTACTGTCAGTAGTTCTGAGCGTTAATTTTGATGGCAGCTCATTCGACTGTGTATTGGCGCGCTGCTCATCAGAAAAGAAGAATTTTGTGAAAAGTTATGTAACCTGAGTAATGCTTTTTCTTTTCATGATGAGATTCATACGACTTTGAAATTCACCACAGGGAGGAAGTTTCGATTTCCGGTGTCTCTGTAAAAACTTAATTAGGATTCAATTAACAGCCATTAATCTGTCATGACTTGTGTACTTTGCGTCAGCGACGAAAGACGAGCTGAGACGAAAGACAGATGCTATTTAAGTATCCCTAGTAAGGGACGGACCATTAGAAAACTTATGGGGGAGGGGGCGAAGTACAAAAAAAAAATATTCGCGCAAGGGAGAATTAAATGAAAAAAAAAAATTCGTGCACGCCAACTAACCCTAAAAAATATGCTACAGCTTAGAAAAAATTCATACAAGGAATTTGATAACGAAAAAAAATTCCTGCGGCTCAAAAATCCCCCACCCCCCTCCCATAATTTTTCTAATGGTCCGTCCCTAATAGTTGACACTACAGCTGCCCCCGCTGTGTATATTGTGGGTCAATAGAATTCTTGGTGGTTGTGTAGCTCTTTGAAATATACCGATTAATAATGAAGATTTCACACATATTCCATACAATAGGTGAGAGTAAAAACATGAAACGCAGTTCCATGCACTGTTTCAGTTCGATTTTCACAGCTTTGATCTGAAAACATTCTCAGTTTCGAGGACAATTTATTCTAAACCATAAGAAAAGATTTCATTAGAAGGTGGAATTTTTCGCTATTTCTCTCTTACGTTTTACATACAGTTCATTTTATTTGCCGCAAAGTAAGCCTTAGAGATGAACAGGTTTGATCAATTCTTACTCGCGAGTTCTAGCCTTTTTTAAAACTTTATCCCCGGAAGGATATCGGTGAGCACAGAATTTGATTGTCAGCGAATTCTGTAATCGTCCGTCGTTCTGCTAGTGATAATCTAGCTGTTGATTCACTCGTCTTGCTTGTTTGGGACTGAGTCTCAGATTCCCCCAAAGAGAGAGAAAGAGTGTCTGGAAAATTGTTTCCAATCAAAGCTTTGTGAACTCGTGTCTGGCAAACTCTCCAAGTGTTCATGATATATACACAGTTATACGGACCTTATAAACTTCCGTCTGCGCTTAACGAGTGTCGTTTAGTCCATCACTTTCAAAACGGCTGCTCAGATCCACAGAATGTCACTGATAACGCGTAACGCTAAAGAGTATCGTAGTATGACAATAATTATTGGATAATTACTGAGGCACATGGCATTATGAGAAATATTGCAGGCAGCTGAGGCCGAGGCTGCAATATTTCTCATAATGCCTTGACTAAGAGCAGCCTCTCTTTTTTCTTAGTCCGTCGAGCAAAACGCGCGAGACACGCAAATGACCACGCGCGTGATTTTAAGGCGTTTCGCGCGTCTCGCGGCTTCGCTGCTCGGGCGCGTGCACTCCCCTTACTAAATCTGAAGAAAAAGGGAGACTGCTCGCAGTTTACACTAGTAATAGTTGACACTACAGCTGCCCCCGCTCTGTATATTGTCGGTCAATAGCATTCTTGCTCGTTGTGTAGCTCTTTGACATATACCGATTCATAAGGAAGATTTTCACACATATTCCATACAATAGGTGAGATAAATACAGGAAACGCAAGGTTCCATGCACAGTTTCAGGTCGATTTACACAGCTTTGTTCAAAACATTCTCATTTTCGAGAATAGTTTATTCTAAACCTTCAGAAAAGATTTAATTAGAAGTTGAATTTTTCGATATTTCTCTTTCACTTTTTACTTTCAGTTTATTTTATTTGCCGGAAAGGAAGCCTTAGAAATGAAAAGGACGTTTGATCAATTCACACTCGCGCATTCTAGTCTTATTTTTAACTTTATAGCGGAAGGACATCTGTGAGCAGGGAATAAGTCTGCACAGAATTTGATTGTCGGCGAAGCTAGCGGTTGTTCACTCGTCTTCTTGTTTGGGGCTGAGTCTTATTCCGGTCAAAGAGAGAGAAAGAGTGTCTGGCAAGTTTCCAATGAAAGATTTGTGAACTCGTGTCTGAGCAACTCTCCAAGTGTTTATATATACACAGTTATACACACCTTATCACTTCTTCAGCGCTTAACGAGTGTCCTTAAAATTTTGGTCCATAACTTTCACCGAAACAACTGCTCCACAGAATGTCACTGATAAGACGTAACGCAAAAGAGTGTCGCAGCATGACCTCACAATAAGTGGCTATATGGCTTGTAACCGGTCAAGGTTTTCAAAGCACTAAATTACCGGCAGTCCAGTATTTTCTATAAATTTGACTTATCTAAGAATCCCAACCAATCCAAACTATCATAGGTCGATTAAGAAAAGTCGAGCGATACTGAAACGCTTTATAAATCTCAAGTTTAGCGTTTGGTTTACGCTGGGCTCAGAAAACAATACCATGTTTTGTGACACTTAAAACTTTTTTCAGCTTCCTCTTTCCGCTTTCCGCTTTCCTCTTTCCTCTTTCCTCTTTCCTCTTTCCTCT